CCACAGGAGCCCGACATAAACGGAGTCATAAAGAGCCCCAGCCTACCGCGACACAGAAAACGCACAAACACAGCGATGCAAAACTGCCAGGTCGTAGCACCAACCCTGGGACAAGGTAACCTGGCAACCGGCAAAGACATGCGGAATGGACCAACCCTAGGCCGGCGAGCGACAGCTGCGATACCAACAGGTTATCAAAGACCGGGGATGTCGCAACGGATTGCAGATCCAGCGAGAAACCGGGACCTATTCCGCGCCAAAGGTACTACTCGAATTTAGTCCCAAAACCAGCGGGGTTGGAACCAGCGGTACCACCGGATACCAAGCAAGTGAAACCGCTCCGAAATCACGAGAAACCAAACGCAGGTTAACACCAAGCGACGAAAAAACCAACTACCTGCGCGGTGCCTAAGGAGCGCACACACGACAAATCCCTACCTGTTCGCTCCACATAACTGCATAACCGCTCCCCTGGCGCAAAGCAACTACGGCGTTCCCTCAAAGATGGTCCCACTGCCCCTATAACAAATAACACGGCCCACGGGGAAGGGGGAAATGCTAGGAAAGCGCTCCTAGCGGGGCACACACACGGCCGAACTTGCAGCGCCTCACGGAACGACCGAGTGCTAAGCAAAGCGCCCACTCTACGACTGCACCCGCACTGCCACGACCTGCCAGGAAGGGGTGGTAGATAGGTGCTCGACCCGCCCTCGCCCGGCGCAAACAGCTCTGTATTGGACGGCAGGAACACAAGGTCAACCGCCAACTCCATCAACTGTTGCCACCAAGGTTGGGCCGTCCAGTACGGCACGACTAGGGTGAGGCACGCTCCCTCCTCGCGCACTTTCTGCACCACAGCGAGCAAGAAGTCGGGGTCCAAGGGTGGGCAGCCATATGCATTAAGCCCTGCCCAAGATTGCAAGAGAGCATTGACCCCCGATGAACCCGGACAATGGTGGCGAGAAAAGAAAACCGGGAGGTGCGTGTTAATATGCGTGGCAAACAAGTCGACATGGTGCGGACCGAAGCGGTGCTCCAAAAGGCGGAAAAACCGGGGATGCAAGCGGTAATCATCACGGTCTACCCAACGCGAGGCTTCATCTGCCTCGTTGTCAGCACTAGCCACACGCTCGACTTGCAGAACAATACTATGTTTCTGCATGAATTCCCATAATAATTTTAGTTCGGCATGCAGAGCTGCCGAGCGCGAGGAAAGACGCCCTAGCACTGCTTGCGTGCACGTGTTGTCCTCCCTAATTAACACAACACGCTGCTGAACGAACGGGAGGAAGGACTCTAAAGCATGACGGACAGCGCGCAACTCCTTCCAATTGATGTGCTCGTAGAGCTCTGGTGCCGACCAATAACCGCGCGCCACACGACCATGCAGGACCGCGCCCCACGAATGGCGCGATGCATCCACTGAAAGCTCAACTGCAGCAGGCCCCTGGTGAATA